CGAGCGGCGGAAAGCTTGGACTCGTGCGACGGTTCGGTGGCGAGTTAACTCGATCGACCTCGAATTGACCTTATTAACTCGGCGTAATTGTCGTCTCGAGCGTACGCCGGTTAACCGATCGCGGGGCGTTTCGGGGCAGGGTGTAGGTGCGAGCGAAGGGAGGGTCGGAAAGAACGGCGAGCGGGGTGGGAAAACACGGAGAGACAACAGCGAGAGGGACTGCTGGAAGCGTGGAATCGGCGATCGAAACGCGATGGCCGGTGAACCGTGCGCGCGGCCGAAAACTGGATTAGCCGCGATTTATAGGGGCTACACGGGAATCGAATTTAAGCTGGAAAAAGCTGGAACGCGGGATCCTGCGGCAACGGCGATCGTCCGGCAAGAGTTTGCTCCCTAAATATCCCCGCGGGCCGGGCCGAGCGGCCGAGCGGCCGTAATGGAAGCTGAAAATCTCTCGATTAATCGACGAACGGAGTAGAAAGAGGAAGAGGGTGGCGGCGCAGGCGGGGGCGCGGGGTGCGCGATATAGGCGAGGGTACGGGGCGAGGGAGGACGATAACGGTGGCGAAAGAACGCGATATTCAGGAGCCGCGCTAACGGTCGTCGTCGGCGAGCGCAATTAGCAGCCGCATTTACGATGCCTACTGGCGCAACTCTCGTATTTTCCCACGGGCAGAGCCGTGAGAATAATTCATGGGCCTCGACGGTGCTTCTATACCAAACGGCCAGGCCGGTCTGCAGGAAGGAGGATGCGACGGGAAAAGGGGGAGAGAGAACCCAGCGGAGCTACAACGCGGACGACTGGCCGGTAGTATCGTCATAAATTCGCGCTGAAAGTGGAAAAGCCCGGAGAACGGAGAACCGAGACCGTGCTCTCGTCGGAAACTACCGCGCGAGCGGATGCTCCGTTTCTCCACCGAATCTGCGAGACTTTGCAATCCCTGCTCTCTTCTTTCCCTTTTTCCCTCCCATTCTCTCGCTATCTCGCTATCTTTCTCTGTCTCTACACACTGCGTATCGATTCGTCTACGAATTAAACCGTTTCAAGGTTTATCAAGGGAAAGCGGCCGGAACGTCTCGCGCCCTTAAGAATCGGTAACGGGAGGGTGAGAGCATCGCGTGAAGCGGTCGCGTGTCCGTATCGCGCAGGTTGATCAACGGGATACGTCGTAAAAAATGTCCCGGCGACGACGTTCAGGTGTGAATTAAGGGTACGCGGTCACGAACGTCCAGACAATCGGAAAGCGATCCGTTACCCGACAGCTCGATAAACCTCGGCTCCATGGTTTACCGCTCCCGAGCCGACTTTCCTCTCCAATCGTATCGCCAGCCGATTTCCATCCCGGTAACCGTTCCGCGTGGACGACGCGTTTAGACGCCGTGGAAAAGGAAGAAAAATAAGAAAAATAAGAAAAAGAAGAAAAGCAAGAAGGGGACAAGACCCGGGAGATTAAACGACGACGACGAAGAGGAAGAAGAAGAAGACTGGATCGAAAGGGAAACCATAGCGACACCGATCGCGAGACGAGACTACCGAGCAGGTATTAATCGGTGCCGCGTGGCTGACGGCGACGCGCGCGAGGACATCCATCGCTGGCACGGTATCTCGATACTCGATCAGTCGTGTCACGATATCGCAGCCCCCATAATGATATCAATTCGCTGATAATCGCCGTTAAGCCGTGTCCATAAATTAACGCACTCGGGCCGGGGTGAACACGCCGGACGGACACAGCTTTTACCGATCCCGAAACCGGAACGTTCCACCGAAAATCTCGTTATACGAACGATCGACGAGTTAAAACGGTGGGCGTTCCGGCCTCGCCGGATATTTCGTCCGCGTCTCTCGCGTCCACGGGAGACGAGCAAGATCGGATTCCTAAACTCCCACGAGGCGGCTCGGCTATTCCCGCGCCATCATTATTCTCTATTCACGAATAGAACTGGGTCAGCCGGCAGTTTATCAGCCCGATTGCAAGCGTGTATCGAGTCCGGCTGTCCGCGCCGATGGAATCGAGTTCGCGAAACGCGCGACAAATTGTTTCCAGCCTGTACTCCTAGTGCCCGGCACACCCGCCCCTCCGCCATCAGGCCGCGTATCGTTTTTGGAAAAATTGAAATATCCCGAATATCCCGGAGGGACGCGTTATCGATCGACCGGAAGTTGGCCGCGACGCGGAGGAACCACGGGGGGCGGACGGGGGTGGCCCGACGCGGAAAATCGTCCAGCTTTGCCGGTGTGTTGATTTAAACCGGAAACGCGATTGGCGCGCCGATGGAGATGGCCCGTAATCACGTCGGCACGTGACTCGAGGACCCCTCTCTCGAAAGGACGAAAAGCGACTCTCTCTCTCTCTCTCTCTCTCTGTTCCCGGTAAGTCTCGCTCCCCTTCTTCGATCTCTTCGACCTCTCGCAACCTCGTCGTCGATTCGTTCGTTCACCCGAGACACGGGGTCGACCGGGTCGCGGTTTCCGCGAACGTGGCACAAGGAAAGCTGAACGACTTTGCAGCCACCGTCTCTCTCGACCGATCCACGCTCTCTCGGCCAAACTTTCGATTAGTTTCATGGCCGTGTCCGTGGATTCGCGGGCTAGAAATAGCTCGAATCGAACGTACGCCTCAAGGATGAGCCGATATTTATAGAAACGTCGTTTCGCGCTGCGCGAATCGTCGCTCGGGCTTTGATTTTTCCCGAAAACGCTCGTCGACTGGCTCGACGAAGAGGCCGATTCCATTAACGACCGGCGACAAAGTCGCAGTGTGCCCCCCGAAGGGTGCGAAATCGCGTGCCCGGGTAGCCGTGACGAAAGCCGATACGGCCAAACCGAAACGGTGGGTCGATTCGGTTGAACGACAGCCGCGATATGACCGCGAGAGAGATAGCGTTGTATCGGCGAGAAAATTGGCTTATCGACCAAGCCCAACTTCCAACGACTGCCACGGCTAAAGGCAAAGTTCGACGTTTGTCGATCGAAACGCGCGTTGGCGGTCGCTGCACCGTAAAACCGATCCTTCGTCGCTCGCTTCCGGTCAAAAGGTAGCGAAAAATAGGAAAAATGTTGCGAGACGAGGTTACGCATTGTCGCTTTGTCTTCGCGCTAGTCGTACCAAGCGGAGTCAAATATGCGAGTGTTGGGTTTATATGCGCGAATGGGAATGAGGTAGAGTAAGTGAAAGTCTCTTCAGACGATATAAATGTAGGAAAGGAATACGACTTCTCATTCACTGCTCAGAAAAGTATCGTCAGCTTTGTAACAGAATATCTTTCAACTCCTATTCTTCCTTAGCCAAAAAATGGTCGAGTGCAGAGGGTTAATTGTCATTAACCACTTAGGCACGGCTAAATTTTGCGCGGGGCTGTTTCTCTGCACGACAGAGTTCAACGCGAATTACTCGCAAATGATACGAAATAAAGACTGTATATTCTGTCTGTATATTGTTGACACTGTTATAAAACCTTGTGAAGGCGAAAAAGGTGTGAAACAAAGCATACGAGAACGATCATTTAATTCAAACGTTAAGTCACTATAACGGCGCGTTGTTTGAAAGATGACGTCCAAAGATGGTGCATCGTGCATAAGAGGTTAACGTAGAAATGGAATAGGTACGGCCCTGAAAGAATGTCAACAGCGTTTGGGTTTAGAACGAAAGCGACCACGTGTAAGAGGATCGAATGTAAGGGATGTTTATGACAGAGCCGAATGCAATTGAAGAGTGAAAGCCTAGGAATGCGTCTAAGTGTTTAGGATACGCGACCGACCGATTGAAAAAGAGAACACGAGTATGAAAAAAGACAGAGTGCAAGGTTCGAATAAGAATGCAAGGACGCGAAAGAGTTAGAGCAAGGATTAGAGAGTGTCAGCGAGTGTCAGAATGTGTCAGAGTGTTTTAAAGTCGGAGTTTATGAGAGTTATTAGCGAGTAGAATAAGTTTTAGGTTAAAATAAATCATTTTTATATTTACGTCACTGCTTATTCTGTTGCCTACCCAACATTCATACATAGATATAATATGTACGAGTGGAGTCTAGTATGAATGTTCTTAAAAAATGTTTAGAGGAACGTGCTAGACCAAAACAGTTACGTGAGAATCGTCACAGAGTAAACATGCGTTAACCCTTTGCACTCGAGAGGCGCCTCTCAGTCGCCATTTAATCAGATTCTAAAGATGGATGTTAATTGATATATCCAATTTACAATTACCCAACGATGCGTGGAATAATGACCTCTCTGTAAATTCTTATATTATCCGATTGTTTAATTTCTCGCTCCCCGTTTATCTCTCAATTTATTTTTCATCGAGAAAAATTCCCTGCATACCTTACGTACCACGAGGGGTCATTTCACCCCTTACGGTAAGAACAGGTACGTGTAAAGTACCGGTACGTTTAGCGTTAAGGCGTCTCCAACATTCGGAACCCTAGCATGAAACCGATACAAACAGTTGCGAGCTGCAGGGGGCCAATTGTTCATTAGGTTGCGCGTTATTCTTCGTTGCGTTCGGACGAAATGGGTTGAACTTTACTTTTTACCATGGTTCCAGACAGTTCCAGATTTATAATTGTATCATAATTCCTTATTTTTCTATCTTTAATTAAAATTACTATCTTACCGAATACGAGTGCACTGCGTTTCTTAACCTTTGACTCTGTAACAGTTATACCTTCGCGAGACCTTCCGTAACTATACGTAGTTATCCGCGTTAGTCTCTATTCGAGAGTTGGTCGAACGTAATTGTCCCGTGGCGCGTGCGACGCGGCTGCCATCTATCGCGAGTGCATCTGTGCCGCTTTTCTCTTATTTTTTCACCTTCTCCGTTCTTTTTCTCACGTTAGATGTTCGCGTAGGAGTAGAGAGATCGTCCTATATTTCTTGTATTTTCTATTTTTAATTAAAATTGCTATTTCGCCGAATACGCGCGCACTGTGTTTCCTAACCTTAAATCTACAATAAAGATAGAAGAAACTAGGAGAAATATAGGAAAAAATGTAGAACTTACCTTCAAAATATTCTCCACGTCCGCGGAATTCTCAGTGGGCCCAGGCCTCGAGGAACTCGTTCCCTGAAACGATGGAAACAGACTCGGTTGACTGGAAGGGCGAATAGAGCGAAAGGGGTGAGAATGGTGGTCGCGTGGAGGAAAGAGGGTGGCGACGGGAGCAGGTAGGATGGAAATAAAATAAACGAATTTTCCTACGACCCCGCGATATTTCCCTTTCTCCTATCAGAGCGAGTCTGCGGAATTAAACGACGACGAGCACATTCCGCGCGGCTGTTAATTAAAACGATTCCGATTCGCCGACACGGCGCGCGGTGGCCGTCGCTCCTCTCCTACCTCCGCGAGATTCAAACTCTCGCGGAGTCCTTTCCGCGATTTATCACGAGCTCTCGAGCGATCATTAATCAACACTCTCTCGAGGAAAAGAGGCGTTGAAAAGAGCGGCCGGGCCGGGACGCGCACCCATTACGAGCGGAACGAATCGTTGTCGCCGTCGTCCTCGTCCTCGTCCTCGTCCTCGTCGCCGTCGAGTAGTCATCGCTGAGAGGAAAACGCGCAGACAATGGGGAAAATGCGTGGACCTGGAAGGCTAAAAATGACGGGGGAGGAACGGAGCGAGGAGACGGGATCCGGGGGGTAGGGTGACTGGTGACTGTTAGCCGGAGGACACGGCGTCGGGGAGACCGAGGAGACTAGAGATAATCGCGAGCAGAGAAGAACGTGGAAACGTCGCGGGAGAAACGGGAGGAAATCGCGAGACGATCGCGTATCGTTCGGAGACGACGGAAAGCGTACGTTTCCACGGATACGACGCGTAATTCCGAGCTAATTTCGCGGACGAAAACGAGAACGAACGCGCGCGCGGCTGGTCGAAGGAGGGCACTCGCGGGGGTGGAAAAAGAGATAAATGGGAGAATGGAAAAAGGGAAGAGGACCACCGGTAGGAGAATCAATTATCTCGACTATGGCAGAGCCAAGAGAGGACGTCGGCGCTTCTCCGGCCAACTCTAATTGTATAAGTACACCGGAAAGAGAAGAGAGGCGCTCGCGACGCGCTCAGCAGGGAGAGAGGGAGAGGACGATAGAAACACGGCGGAGACCGAATCGGAGGAGACTCGATCGATAGTCAATCTCGATGAAATTTGCACCTCGAGGAGTCACGCGTAATAAGGCTCGACCAAGCGCGCCCCCTCTGCCGATCCTCCGGCTCCACTCCGCGCCGCCACTACGCGTAGTCCTTCGCCGAGATTTCTATCGAAAAGCAATTCGTTTCCCGTCAACGAACCCGTTTCGTCGCGACGCTCTCTCCTCGGATACCCGAAGCGGGCACAGATTCCACGGGGAACCGGACCAAGCGCAAGGTTACCGGTAGGTAAACGAGGCTCTTTATTACCCCTTCGCGTCCATTAATATCGCGTCATGTTTCGTCTACCGTCTACGATCAAGATATCGAACGATCGAGGAAATCGTCGTAGACCCTCCCCCGCTTTACCGGCGTGTGCCCGGTTCGCGATCGTAAACGTTTTAACGAGCGGGCGAGGATTCGTGGGGTACTAATCGCGCAACAAGTGCAACGATAACCGCCCCCCGAGCGAACCACCCTCCGCGTAGCGACGACTCGCGTGGTTCCGTTCGACGACGAAGCGAGCGGAGAGGAGAGGAGAGGAGAGGAGAGGAGAGCCGGAGGAAGAGTCCTCCTCTGGATGGAGTCGCGTTAATAAAGCAATTTTAGGGGTCTGAGGGCATTGGGGGTTGGCGCGAAAAGCGCGGCGACGAACGCGCAATCAGAGACACCGCGATCGGTGGTGTCTGGTAGCGGAAAATACACGCAACGACGACGACGTTTTACTCGTGTAAACAAGAACGAGCGCGGAAGGACGCGCGGCGTAGGGCGGAGGACGGGACGGATGGAGGCGGCGACGGAGGCAGAGGAGGAGGCGGCGGTGGCCACGAAACAATGGAAATCGATACTCACGTTATCGAGAGGTAACCTGGACAGTCTGCTGCCGACACAGTGAAGCCTGCTGCCGCTGGAATTCCCGATATTCGAATTGCCAACGAGCGTACCGTTCCCCGGTGAATTCGTGGGCGGTCCTTTGGCGGGTAATAAACCGTGGCTCCGATGATCGTTGCTGTTGCCCCCGTGCTTCACTGGCTGACCGGGGTAACCACCCCTGCCTCCGTGGGGCGGCTTGCCGTCGGCTGGTTTCACGAAACCGCCGCGTTGATGACTCGACGACGACGACGACGACGATGACGACGACGTGGATGTGGACGACGCCGATGACGACGAGGACGAACCGTCGGTCCTCGGTCCTCCGGGTTTCTTGAATTCTTGGGAGGAGGGCGAGCTCCTGGAATTCGAGCCGACCGAACTGGAACTCATTCGAAGGGCCGAGGGCGCCGGGGGCGGGGCTGGGCTCGGTGGTACACCCTCGATGCCGATCAGCCGTTTCGGCTCGTCCAGCAGATGCTTCACCAGCGAATAGTTGCCTAGTTTCAATTGAATTTGCTGCGTCGTACTGTCTCTGGCGTCTGGGTTCACCTGAAATCGTCAAAATTCCGATTATGTCCCGACCATCCTTTCCATCTTCCCTCGCATTCCCGCCTAAATCGCGCGTAAATCGTAGAAAAAGAATCGCGGGACACGCGATCGATCCGATTCCCTGTACCCCGACGTACCCCCGTGGACCCCCGGCGTACCACGACGAGGCGAGACGAAACCGTGCGAATCCGTGCGAATCGCAGGCGTATGCAGACTCGGAGGTACACTCGTACGTGTGCGTGTACGAACGATAATAATTAATGCGGCGTAACAGTGGCTGGCAAGTTTACGACGCTGCCGGGGCGAGGAGAAATTCGTGTTCGACCGGTGCGCGCACCGGTTCTACATTGTAGCGCATAGACGCACGGTATAACAGACAGACAGCTCGTGGCGCGCGCGTTTATGATCCGCCGCGTCTCTGCCTTTGTCTTTAGGGACAATGAGATGAAATCGTGGTTTAATAAGGAGGCGGAGAGGCCCGAGGAAGCTTAACGTGATTAACGAGCACGCTATAAATCACGTACACTTGTTCACACCGGCACCCTTTTTCTGACCGAGCGCGCGCCTCCGCGCGAGCATCGAGTGCTACCAGCCGGTTCTTTAACGAGCTTCCGATGCATCGTGCCTCGCGGAGTGCAATTTTCGAAGGAAAATCATTAATTCGAGGTAACGCGGCCCGCGTCTCCCGCTATTTCCTTCCCTGCTAGTTCCCTGCAACGGATTTCAACCGACCGCCAACCGGGAGGGTGGGGATCGATAAGAAACGACCGATGAACAGACGCGAGGAGACAAGCGAGAAGATAACTACGAGCGAAGGTAACCGGGAAGAAAAGCGGCTACGGCTTCGTCTGTGTCAGGGGTTGACAACTGTCGTAATATCGATTCCGCTCGTACAAACGCTTTCAAGGCACCGTTATTCCCGCGACTTTTCCCAACAACCGAAAATGGCCACGATGTCGATTCCGATTACGATCCCGATCACTGACCGAGTATCGGATTTACTCCTGCGTCATTTTTACTCTACTTTGCTGATTTACCGAGGTGCAACCTTGCAAATGTTGGTCTCCAGGAATCGGCGAGCTACGTTTATCGGTTATCGTTAAATACTCGGTTTGCTATCGTTTCCTCGAACCTGTTCCTCGAGAAGCTAGAGTCACGATCTTAATTCACGCCCCTTTTAGATCCTGGAAGTGTACGACGAATATTAGACACAGTATCCATGTGCAAATCGACGTGGTATAATCTAGGAGTGGACATCGAGTCGATCGTAAAACAATTTTTCATAGATCAGGACTTGGTCGTGGAATCTTCGGTGTCACAGTCGATGTCGATGATTCGACTTCCGAGTCAGCCATCGCGATACGTTCTTGGAGAAAATTGTATTTGTTTATTCGTTGTTTTATTTAACGAGAGAGCCCTATATATACGTATAACAAGTGCAAGCTTCGAGACGAAAGAGTAAACCGAAGCGAGTGTAAATTAAGAATTAAAAATTACCAAGAAATTATTAAGAATTACTAAGAAATCAAGAATTATTTAGAAGCTCGCAGAGTTTCAAAAGGAGTGAAAGTTAATATACGAAAATCGTTCGCTGAGGAGCATGTTTGAGATATTATACTGGATCAGAAAGCAGTTCGTCGTTCATCTTCGTGGTAAGAGGGTACACATGCCTAAAGGGTCGCAACGATATACAGAAATTTATACTGTCAAGTAGGAGGGGGCAGTCGATAACCCCAATTATTAATTAAGAAAGGAAAAGAAAGTCTGTGACAATTTTACTTAATTCAAGAAGTTAGTCCCAAGGTACGCAAAATTTTTTCACATAACTGTGGTCAAATTTATGGGCTACAAATCGCAGGAACTTGCGTTGAATTACTCCTATTAGTAGTCTGTACATAGCTTAAGACGGAGACCAAATTTGAGAGACTTATTCAAGCTGTATTCTAACGGGAGAGCAATAGAGTAGTCTGATAAATCGAGTGTCGCCAAAATTTGCATTCTCCGCAAGAAACCTGGTGTTCCATTTGCTCTGTCTACCATCGAAGAGGCACGCGATGAGAAGTTAAGATAAGAAAAGATAGTCGACCATGTACACGATAAAATTGGACAACCCTGGTACCAGCTATCCCTAAAGTCACACGACGAATAAGACGGTAACAACAAAGACTCCAAATAAATCCCAACGCGAAACCGATGTTCCGTAAGAGCAACTGGTTACCGAGATCCACCCAAGTAAAAGCTGTTTCGCTGGTAACGATTAAAAAATCGTTACGTTCCTTCGCAATTACCCCGAAAAGTGGAGCTTTGTGTAACGACGATTAAGGGATATTTCCGGAACCGTTTGCACCCCCGATCCCAGCCCTTCCACCGATCGCTCAGCGTCCTCAGGATCCAATTCGACGACAGTGGTGGTATTTTAGGAGGTCTGGGTGTCCGCGAGTCCTGAGACCCTGGTCGTAAACGAGTAAACGTTGCCCCCTCGACTCGGGTCTTCTGTCTTCGGGGGTGAACTTAGGAAATAGTATAAGAGATTCGGGTCCTTCGATGGAGGTGAAGGTTCAGAAGGATTCGAGTTAATTGGCTGTCTGTCAACGAAGAATTTGCATGAGAAAGATCACACTTCGCATGTGACAGATCACGTTTCATCCCTTTTGCGAGCATCTCGCCTACGTTTCATTTCATTATAATCTTAACAAGTTTTGCTTTTGTTTTATTTTATTTATAAAATAATTTTTTCTTCCTTTTCTTTTCTATAGAAAAATGTAAAATGCAATGTTTGCGATGTAACATTGGGAATCAATTGCTTTAAAAAGTACCGTGTTAACGCATGTCTTTGCACTCGAGAAGCGCCCTTCAGTCGCCATTTGTTAAAATTTCACTGGACCATTTTTTGACTAAAGGAGAGTAGGAGTTGAAAAATTTTCTGCTACAAAGCTGACGATATTATCTTCAGCAGTAAATAAGAAATTGTATAATAATTAACACGTGGAATTACTTAATTTCGATACCTCGCACACTGTTACGTTATTTCAAATTTCACATATTAATTAACACAGATCTTCGAAATTTTATCAAATGGTGACTGAAAGGTACCTCTCGAGTGGAAAGGCTTAAATTGATCGTGTAGAGTGGCAAGGTGACAAGCATCAAGGATCTGAAGAAAGTAACAATCGACACAAATGAACAAGCATGGTACCATGGAAACAAACGAAGGGGGAGATTATTCTCTGGCGACTGTTGAAGGTGTTATAACGCAAAGGAGCAGTAGTCAAACTGTGGAAAACTGTATAGATCTTTACAGAACGGGCGAATGGCTAGAACTGGCCTGTTTAGGGCCACGCAGGTCAAAGTCGTCTTCAGGAGACTGATGACAAAAGACAGAACAAGGGGAAGGGATCACCCCCCACACCGCTGGAATGTAGAGTTTACTTCACTATTGAATTTCACCATAACAACGACCACCAACGATTGGTTGGCCCACCAATATCGGTGGGAGTACCTAACAAAGTAAGCTAAGTGCAGCGACACTCGCGATCTGAAGCAGATTTCACTGAAAACACGCCTGGCAGTCAACGCGTTGAGGTATTCTCGACCAGACTATGACAACTTTGCAGTCACCTTACCCCCATAAGTGCCAAGGATTAGATCGGGGGATGGTCGAAGTGGCGTAAAGGTCCGCGAGTTTGGGAACGAACATAGGGAACGAACAACTGGAGCCTTTTTTCCTCGAACGGCGTGCCCGAAGGGTCTCAGGAATAGAACGGTCTGGCTAATTACGCGTTAGAGAGGGATCCCAGGCCAGAGATGACATAAACGTAATGCCGCAAGAAACTGCGGGGGAAACTCGGCGAGGAATGAAAGAGAGGAACGCTTAGGTGACCAGGTCAGGGACTTCCCTTCCACCCAGACCTCGCTCAATTTTTCCCTCGCTCGCGCTTTGTCCTTCCTCTTCGCCTCTCTTCGAGAACACCCGTCTCTCATACCACGGTTCTCTAATCGCGCCGTTCTCGCCGTCATCGCGCACGCGAGCTCGCGTAAAATCATCGGGAGCCGAAAAGCTCGTAAAACCGTGAAATATCCGCGCTCGTAACGCGGGAACGACGAGTCGTGACGCAAATTCCCGCGACCGCCGTTTCTGGCTAACCAACTTCGAACCGGCTCGAGGATTTGCCGCGTCCGACCTACTCTCTTGGCGCACGAGAGAGAGAGAGAGAGAGAGAGAGGGAGGGAGAGAGTGCACTCGTAAATTCGCCGTTTCGGCGAGGGCGAAAATTCGTTGACCCGCGACGTCGCTCCGAATTCATCCCTTCCAGAATCCTTCCAGAGCCGACAAACTCGAACGGGGAACGAGGAATCGATGAACGAATCGGGCAACGTCGTCCTTGAATCCGTGGACGAGGATCGATCCGAACGCGACGACACGCGCGAGGACACGCGGCGAGGGTAGGCGCGCGCGACAACCACGCGTGCTCTCGTTTCGTGCGAATTCCTCCGGTGAATGGATAAAAGCGATCCACGGGACGAGCCGCGTCGCTTTGATCCACTTACGCGCACGCCACAGCCCGTGTATCCCTCGGCTGATCCATTTCCCGAGATTTGTTCACCGTGCGAAACGTGCGTGAGCCAGCCACCAGCGAGCGCATCTGTCGCGCCCGGAAACAACTCCGCGACTCGCACAGCAGCGCGGTTTCGCGTCTTCGTGCTCGTTAAAACGCCACCGGCTCCGCTGCGACTGCTCGTCGCGAGAGGAGCAAAAAGAGGGTTGAGAAAAGGAAGAAGAAATGGGAGGAAAAAAGGGAGAATCGATCGCGGCGTAAAAAGTTACGACCGGTGATCCGAGGAAATTAACAAGAAAGCGTCCGATGAGTTTTAATCAAGGACGCCGCGTAGATTTCTGCTGGGAACGGAAGAGGATAAAAAATACGGCAGCCTCATCTCGCGAGGAGAAGGACGCAGTGGAGGGACAGAGAGAGAGAGAGAGAGAGTAGAGGAAGGACGAG